ACGGGCGATGGCTTCCCAATAGTAAATCGCTGTATGCCATCATCACCCAGTTGCACCAACTTCGCTTGTTCTAATAGCGAATTGCTGTATATCAGGTAGCCACCAGAGTAAATCCCATCAGACCTTCTTTCAAACATACTTGGGTCTACATTTGGAAACATCTTCCTAAAGGCCCTCCAATTGGCATAATCCCTGTTGTCATGATGTGGCTGCGCCGCTACGTCATTCCCAAAAGCGTCGTACATTAGTATATAATGGACGTTATACCTTCAGCACCTCCACTTTATCCCGATCTGACAAAAGTGGATTTAAACGCCGAGAACTTTCGTTTAAATAAAGTAAATTTAATATTGGCTTACTTGGAAGGACAAGCAAAACACTATGAAGAGGTCAGAAAAAAATATGCCAGAGCTCGAAGCATCTTGCATAAAATAGCCATAACTTCAGGCTCCATGTCCGTGGCTCTTACTGGCACCGGCGTCGCTACTTCTCTAACAGGCCCCGGAGTCGTCGTTGGCATTCCTTTAGCCAGYGTTGGCGCCGTCTGCGGCATAGTTTCCGCTGTCATGACAGGCGTCATAAAGCAATTGTCTGGTAAGATATCAAAACATGACTCGCACATAACACTGGCAAGAGCAAAGGCTAACACCATCGCCGATTTAGTATCCCAAGCTCTACGTGATCGCCGCATAGATGACAAAGAGTTTTCTTTAATACTCGCAGAAGAAAGAAAATACGGCGAATTAAAGTCAGGTAATAAAAAAACCATTGTGAAAGATCTGTCCGACGAATCTCGTAAACAAATCTACCAGCAAGCGAAGGAAGACCTACAAAGAAAGCTCACCTCCTAGGAATCCATTCTAATATGGGGTGATTGGGGTCTATTTGCTGAAATATGTCGTAAATCACATCAGGATAATAAGGAATAGGCTTATCCAATTGACAAAACATCCACTCGGCCCTTTGCATGTCTGAAACCTGTGGAATCTGTCTACCGGTAATTTCTGACAAAATATAAGGAATAGCTTTATAATATTTCCCTAATTTCAATTTTTTTAACGTTTTCCGCAGACTTTGCGGCGAGGGCTCTTCTAAGTGGTCTATGATCTCCTGCATATCTAAATACACCGGATGCATACCTTGAATATGATTCATCCAATCTCTGAAGTATTTTAACCTCTTATATGGCGTTTTCGTGCGACCTCCGTTGGCATAATACTGTTCTTTAGTAGCGTTTGGCACCGCATTACGAATATTCTTACCACACTCATAGCATTGCGCCGATGTATCCTCCTCTATCTGCATTTTTTTACCACAACACCAAAAGGGTTCTGGCTTCGGTATGACAACTTTAGGCGTTAAACAAATCACACAGAAGTCGTTAACGAACTTCTTACACTCATGCATCGTATATC